TTGGACTCTAGCCTAAATTAATGACAGATTTGTGTACCAAACATGAAGTCATAAAAATCCAAACCAGAGTACAAAATAATTTAAAAATTAAGGATGTTAATGTCCCCTTTTATACTTTTAGCTAAACATCTTGAAAATAAGTTTCCCCTAATCAATAGTGTAATAATGAGAATGATGTTTGTACTCTGAAGTCAAATATGATTAATTTTAGAGTAAATCAATTTTACAAAATTTATTAGAAGTAGAACTAATAAAATTACTGTGGTATTATCATATTAGTATATGATAATTAAAGAGAAAATGAGCATATCAAATTTAAAGGATCAAAACATGATTTATAATATCCATAAGGATTAATAACTTACAAGAGAATCACTCATTTCTTTAAACAGCTTTGGTTTATTAAAAACTAAAAGTGTGAAATGACTAGCACTCATTTCATGTTGACCTATTTTAGAAAAAAAGCAAGTTGATTATTAGGAAAGCAAATAGAGCCAAGAGAAATAATCTATCCTAATTGATCATTAATTAATTTTGACTGGTTGTTCTTGCTAGACATTTGTATGAAATTATTAACATTGAAAGTACTTCAATAATTTAGCCAAGTATTTGACACAAGTTATTTTAATGATACATGAAAGACATCTTGTTAACACTCTGGAGTGAATAATGTTATTCATACAATCATAAATATGATGATCATAATAATAGATTCAGATTTTAGTCTCATTTTTTAAATTGATTACCATGGCATCAGACCGACATTTTATCTAGTTTTGTATAACCTTTTGATATTAACCTTGTTAATTTGGGGTTTATAGCCACAGAAATAAATAATAATGATCCCGAGGAATTATTTAATTCAACATACAGAATTTTATAAAGTATATGGGAGAATTGAGACTGAGGGTGAAGGTGGCAAGGCTTTTTCTTATACTTTGCATCTGAAAAATCAAGTACATAAAATTAAGCAGGTAAAATCCTATGTTGGTTATACTTCTAACAGAAACCTTTCTCTAATAAAACCTGAAAATGAATTCAACAACACTAAGGCTGACTCTTGACTTTAGAGAGAGAGAGATGTGACTACTGATCAAGAGCTCTATCTTAAAAGCTAGATTATGCTTTATTTTTCAAAAGAAAAATTGCTGCTACTGCTAGGAGGAAAAAAATTACTTTCTCAGTGGACAAATGAATATGTTTGTTTTTTGGTTAGTGCAGCTGTACCATAGTGCAGTCAAGGAAGCGTTTTATTTAAAATACATTACAGCTGTCACGACCCCTGAGCTCCTGGTGATTAATGAATCTTACATAAACTATGACAATTGGATATGGAAGACTGGAAAACAAGTGGCACAGCAGGATCTTCAATACTAGGCATCTTTTCCTTCTCACTCTTTTCTTTCCATTTAACTGTTTACATGTCCAATAGGACATGTAAACTTTTAGGCTCACAGCCTGAAAGAGAAACCATAGCAGGAGCCTTTCATATATTTCTGTTGATGTTGATGAACATGAGGAGATGGCCATTGGGGAAATCATAAATTGCTACCTGGGTGAAACCTTTACCAATACTGTAAGCAGTCATTTTAAAGTGATGGAAAAATATTGTGGTAGCCAACCATTAACAACCAATTCATGTCCTTCAGTAAATGTTATCATCAAAAAGGCCACATCAGAAAACCACTTTATGAAATGTTCTTTTGTCAGATATAGGAACTGCACCTTAAGATGCCTTATAGTATATATCAGTGTTTATACAAATACATAATAAATGAAAGCTAGCAATTTATCATATTACTAAAGATCTTTAGGAAGAGATTGCCAGTATGCCTCAGTAGCATATTAAAGGTATTTAATAAGAAGTAAATTCTTTGTTATGTTTATAACATTTTACAATCATTACATTGTTTCTATCCTCTTTTATAAAATTGTGGACTAGAACTAGATAGATAATCTCTAAGCCTTGTTCTAATTTCTAAAATTCTGTGATTGAATCTTTTTTGCTCTGAAAGTCCTATAGTACATTTTAGGAATAGTCACAAAAATTCTGACCTGATAAGCCATAAAGAATTGACATCAACCCAGATCTTTTTTTGCTAACATTGTTACACAATACATTTTATTCTATACCTTAGAAAAACATAGTATAGCACCTATCTTGTTCATCTGGTGATAATTAATAAACCATTCTCATATTCAAAATATGTATTGTAAGATCTTCTATTTATTTAATAAATTTAATCTGTTATTCTATTAAGATGAATTTTCTGGGACAACCTACATTTTTTCAGGGGGAAATATTTTGTTTGAATAATAAAAGGTGATTGACATTATCAGTTTGAATAAAAAAGGTGATTAACATGCTTAGTCAACAATTAGTTTGTTTCCCCTATTAATGAATTAAGGCATAGAAAAAAAAGATACACTAAGGGCTTTTAAGAATTCTCTTTTTTTTTTTTTGCGGTACGCGGGCCTCTCACTGTTGTGGCCTCTCCCGTTGCGGAGCACAGGCTCCGGACGCGCAGGCTCAGCGGCCATGGCTCACAGGCCCAGCCGCTCCGCGGCATGTGGGATCTTCCCGGACCGGGGCACGAACCTGTGTCCCCTGCATCGGCAGGCGGACTCTCAACCACTGCGCCACCAGGGAAGCACCAAGAATTTTGAAAATTCTACAGACATCTTCAACTTATAAAACTTATATTTGTTAAAACTGCAGTATGTTAAAAAGTAACTTATAGTAATCCCGATTTTGTTAACCATTATTTTAATTTTTTTAATTTTATGAATTTGAAACACAGTTAACAGAGGCAAATTTAGTTTCAGTAAATAAATATAATGTTCAAAAGGGTAAACTAATTTCACATTAGGTAATAAAATACGTATCATTTTGTATGTAATTTCTATAATTAGCTTGAACATAAGAAACTATTAAGCAAAGATGCGAAGTAGAACTCAATTAAATAAAAACTATGCAGAAAAATAAGGTATTAGGCATTGGGAAGAAAATTCTTTCAACAGGGAAACTACCTCATCTTTTCTATTTAGTATAAATATCCTTTTTCAGTACAGCAACATTTAAAAGAATATTTTGGTTAGATATTTTTCAAGTAAAAATCAAGTGTATGATTAGTACATAGAATTCTTCAAAGTATTTAGAGCTACACATTAAGGAAGCTACACATTAAACCTGCGTGTAAAATCTCGGGTTTTATTAATACTATGCTAGGGAGAAAGAGTGACATTGTTATACTAACATCTACAAAGCAACAAAATGAAACTCCAAAAGATGAAGATATTGTTAGGACATAAAAAATACAGATGTACATCTAATGACTACATGCTTTGGCATGCACAAATGTCCTTTCAAGAACTCAGAGCCACATTATTTGAGTTACAAGTGACAAGTTTCTTGTTGATGCTATACTATATACTATTCTATATTTTACTTATTTCAACTAAAGAGTTTAGTGCATCTTTTACAAAATGAATATTTTTCTGTAAGTAGCAGAGAAATGATTTGAAGAAGTAACTCAGCATTTCATGTATAATTATTCATCACACATCATCATCATTACTGTGATAGCACCAGACAACCAAGCACTTTATAGAATTAGCATGGAGCCCCACCCTACCTGCCTGGCCATTCATAACACAGCAAATGGCAAGCCAAAAATAACATTCCCATAAGACCCAGAATTCTCTCTCACGGACAGCTCTAGTGAACAGTTTACGGTCGTTGTTAACCAGTGAAGAAGAGCTCAACAGGCTCACACACTTTGCAAAGTGGTCAAAGGATTCTCCTGCCTTTAGGTTTTCAGAAAATAATAGAAACAGCATTTTTACAAGACTCTGTGATTCATTCTTTCCAATGTGAGGATCTCAACGGAAGACAGGGGTCAAGCCCTTGGAACTCAGAATGCGGGGTGAAGGAAAGGCAGATGGAGTTTGAAAACAAAACAGTTTAATAAGCTTGACTCTGCAATTTGTGGTAAACAAGCCAACTCAGTGCTCACCTTGACATCACACAAAACAAAAATGTAATATTTTCTAAGGTCAAAATAAACTTTTTTCTTCTAAAATTACCTTTGGTTTTACTTTTGTTAGTCACAACTTTTTAACTTACAATAAATTTCAAAAGCATTAAAGACTCTTTAAAGAAGTTTATGGTTGTAAAAGAAGGTGTGCATAGTTATTTAGCTACTTTAGATGGAAATATTACTACTTCGTGCTGAAATTATCAAGTCATTCATTCCACTGTTATCTGATTTAAATCTAGAGTTTTCATAACTTCCCTAATGTTTTCTTCTTGGGATTAGGATTATATAGGGGAGAATAAACCAATTCAGTGTTGTTAATGATACTACTGGCATATATTTGCACATGCTTTACATTTTTCAAACACTTTCACAAATATTGGATACCAAAAAAAAAAAAATCCAGTGACAAGGGAAGAATGATTAATCCTATATCACAAGTGATGAAACTTACATTTACAGATGTCAAGTGACTTGGTGCATAGATATTTGGTGGCAGGGCTAAGACTATAGTTTAAATACCATCTCTTAGTTTGGTACTTGTATCAATCAGGATGGGCTAGGTAATGCTGTAGTGACAAACAATCCCCAGATCCAGAGGCTCAAAACAACAAAGATATATTTCTTGCTCCTAATATATGTCCATCAATAGATGTCTCTGGGTTCTCCAGTTCTCTCACTCTGAAACCCAGGATTTTGCACCATCCACTATCTGTAAGGTTGCCTGTCACTGGGACAGGGGGAAAGAAAATTATAGCAAATCACATACTTGCTCTTAAAGCTGCTGCACAGACACTTCTGCTCACGGTTCATCAGCCAAAGCATGGCTCATAGGCACAGTCAACTGGAAACAGGCAAACTTAGGAGCAAGGGAACCAAACCAAAACTATTTTGTGAATGTCACTGATTACAACAGTCAGTCCTATTAGGCACTAAACATTCAATTCACTCTTCTTCCTATAGGCAATATGTACTCACCTGTCCCTGAAGGAGAAAACCCAGAAGTGTCTTTCAATGAGAACATCAAGTTCAAAGAGCAGAATCTATGGGTGATACAGTGTAGTCCCTACACCAGGAAGAAACATGCTTCATGTCTGAGTGTGGCTCTGCTTGATCCAAAAAACTTCTGAACTAAAAAGGCAAGTCATCAGTTCCCTAAACATCCAGTATACACTGGTAAACTTGTGTTCAGGGTAACCTCAATAACTATTCCCTGGAGAAAAATAGGAGACACAGCAGTTGCTGGTGTGTAGCAGGTGTGAAATCCCAGTAGGCAGGTATAGTAAGGATCCTTTATCCCAAGACGAGAGAAATGTTCCTCGATTAGACCCGGAAGGGGCTTCCCAGTCCATTTATTCTCCATGGCTCTCTGTTCTAACCTTTGAAAAATGCTGTCTTTTCCATTTTCCTTTTTGGACACATTCAAAGTGAGCATCAGAATATGACCTTGTTAGGACACAGAGCAGCTTCTTCAGTGGCTACATGTGCAGAAGGAGAAAAGTAAAGATAATATGGTGAGTTTTCCTTAAAATCAAATATGTGCAATTTGACTGCTTTTTATTCTGTAATTATTTACTTCTTATATTTGTGGTGTTCAAATACCCTTTCTTGTGGACTTTTATATCAGCAGCATGGTGGACTTCATGAATAATGGTTCCTCTCCCTATTGAGTAATTTTGCATGAAACATAAATTTTGCATAAAATATAACTTTTGTAGCATTGCTGAGATCTCCAGAAAGAAGAAAAATCTCTAAGGGACTAAAATTAGAATAACAACAAAAATAACCAACCAAACAAAAAAGCCTTGAGTTGAAACCAGAGCTGTAAGCTATATGTGCACACATGCATATGCACTCACACAAAGCATTTTGCTTTGTCACTGGCAAGTAGAAGGATCTGTACCTGAGAACCTTATATTAAACTTAAGAATCTGGCCTGACTGGTCTTAGGTACCTAGAGCCTTTTGGCTCCAAGCAGAAGCATAGGCAAATCCTCTCTGGAAAAAAGTCGAGATTAGCTGAATTTGAACACAATAAATAAGACGATAGAATAAGGTTTAACCTCTGTCTAATTGTAGTCCCTGAATAACAGAATAGAGAGAACAGAGGAAAGGCAATTTTTGAAGAGTTAATGCTTAAGAATGGAGAAAATAAATCCAAAGTTACAAGGTGAACAATGTATACTTAGTGAGATAAAGAGTTAAACATTAGAAACATTTCCTTTAAAATCGTGAAGAAAACAAATATGCCCACTATTACCACATCATTTAACACTATAATGGCTGCCTGTCTCAGCCACTGCACTGAGATAAAAAGAATAAGGAAAATTAGAAAAGAAAGAAACAAAATTGTTATTATTCACACTGAGTCATTTACATAGAATACTGCCCCCCAAAACCTACAGACAATTTATTGGAAATAATAAGAGAATTTAGCAAGGCATCTGGATATAAAACCAGCAGATGAAAATCGGTTTTATTTCTATATACTAACCACAAATCGAAGACATATTTTTAAAGCATTATTTCCAATAGCAAGAAGAGATACATGGAATCCAAAAATGGAACAAAAGATATGCGAGGCCTATGTGGAAAAAACTGTAAAACTTTAAAGACATTAAAGAATCTAAATTTGCAACATATGTGATGTTCACGGATAGGAACGCCCAATAACCTAAATATATCATTTCCTTCTAAATTCAGTGCAATTCTAATAAAAATTCCAGTAGGCTTCTTTTTTATTTCTTTGGAACTTGAAAAGCTGATTCAAAATGTTATGTGAGAGTGCACAGGCCTAGTATGTTGGCTGGATACTCTTGAGACGGAGAAAACAATGGTGCATATCCATAAAGAGAACCTTAAAAGAACCAAAGCAGGAAGAGAAGGGTTTGTCTTTAGCCTAACTGGTGGCATTAATGCGCCTAAAGAAAAAAGTTACCTAGAGAAGGAGCTGGGTTTGTCTTGGAAATGAGGGGTGCATATGAGAGGCTGTGAGGGAAGATGGGGAGTGGAAGAAGCAGAATTAGAAAAATTTGAGGAGGTGAGTCTGCAGGTATGCCCTCTGTTAAACATAGATGGGTCTGAGTATTGTAGGGTGATGCTATTAGATATGTAAGTCAGCGGTTTTCAAACATTTTCGTGCAAAACACCTAAAAGAATTTTTTAAAACTTTTTACCCCTTACATATTTTTAAGGCGGCATCTGTTATGTTTTAGCATACATCTAAATAGTTACAAAGGATGTAATTGCTGATGTATTAAAAAAATATAATTTAAAATTTAAAATATATTTATTTAGTGTATCCAGTGGAATCCAAAATGTCAAAGACCCATCCACCATTTAAATATATGAACAACTTAATCTATAAGTTGGAAATTTTAGTGTTCCTTTTCCTACTTGAACTTGTATTTTTATTCCACTTCCTCCACAGAATTTTATGCTCATATAAAATATTTTTATGCTTGAGAGGTCTTTATTGCTCATCCTGTCATGTTTCTCTGCAGCAAACATATGCATGTTAATTGGAATTTTATATTTAACTGTCAAGAGTTTTCTTTTGGGTTGCATTATTAAAATCATTAGTAGTACACAATTGCTAAAAACAAAATAAGTATATTACAAATTATAATGGATCAATATTAAACATCAAAAGTGAAATTTTCCTGGCAATGAACCTCATAATGAGATGGATGAGCCTCTTCTTCCCTCCAATTAGTTTATGTATCCATGGGTGAATATTAAATAATGCTAGAATGAGCCAGCTTTCAACATCAAGTCCACATCTGGTTTTCATTTTTATAAATGTAAGCCCTAAGCTTGTGGTTCATTGCTTATAGCAACATCAATACCAATAAATTTAATTGTCCCTTTGGCTCCCAGATGGCTTTTATACCCTGGGGCATGCAGTAGGAATGGGTAAAAGTGATGCCTTTCTTTTGTCAAGTGGGAACAGGTGGCTGTGAAAAGGGGCCTTATGTGAAGCCTAGAGAGCAGGCAGGTCATAGGATGGGGAATATAAGTTGAAGATCATGATGATGATTCCTTTAAAACTGCCCAAGCCTATATAAACCCTGACAAGGTCTTTGTGTGCTATAGTTTGTGGCTCATTGATTCAAGTCCTAAAACCAATTCCTCTGGCTGATTTGCTTGCTCAGTATGGAGCCCTCTGATTTTAACGCCATTCGAATGTCCTTAGGCCTGTGTGTAATATGCATGTCACGTTAACAGTAATAACTCAAATTGCACTTAATTTCGTCCCCACCTGCTGACAGAACCTCTCATCCTTTGCAAATTCCACCCACCCAACCCCCCACCCAAGCTCCTAAACAGCGGCTCTTAAGTGTTCACAGATAAATCCACATGGCCAGTTCTTGTCTCTCACTGGGCATGGGCACCAATGCATTACGGTTGTACTTTTAACTTTCACATAGTATAAAATGTACTGGAAATGAATTAAATGTAAATTAAATTTTGTAAGCCAAAAAATGTATTATTATTTTGTCAAGTAAGTATCTGTTAAAATACCATACATTATTACCATTGTTTAACTTGTACAAGAATATTTTAAATGTTTTAGAAATATTTCTTATTATGAAATGTTTAAGACACACAAAAGAATATATGTAATATTTAGGTAAGTTACCAGGTAAACATTAAAATGAATACATGTGAACCCATCACCCAACATAAGAATTAAAGCATTACCATTACTAAAGCATGCTGTTTCCATCCCATCCCACTGCTTTTCTCCCAGAGAGTCACTATCCTGAGTTTTGTTTTTAGCACTCTCTTCCTTTTTAAATATAAACTTGTAAATACATGTATAAGTATATGTATGTATTCCTAAGCAATGTATTGTTTAGATTCTCTTATTCATCTTTATAAAAATTATATATTTTATGTACTCTTCTTCAACTAGCTTTCTTCATTCAGTATTTCTAAGATTCAGCCATGATGTTACATGTATCTATGGTTCATTCATTTTTGTTGATATATAATATTCCATTGGGTAAATCACCACAATTTTTTTGCCCATTCTCCCGAAATGAACATTCGGATTGTCTTAATATTTTTGTTATTACAAGCAGTGTTGCTGGTGCACATTTGCAAGAGTTTATCTAAGGATATATAGATCTAAGAGTGGAATTGCTGGGTATTCCCATTTTCAACTCTGTTAAGATAGTTCTGAATTTTTTTCCAAAGTGATTGAACAAAGTTACATCCCCTCTACCAGTGTAGAATATCTTCTTGATTTTCACTTTCACCAATCCTTAGTATTATCAAACTTATTATTACCAATCTAGTGACTATAAAATATTATCTCAATTTTACAGGTTAAAGCTAATGATAAATTTGAGCAACTTTTCACATTTTATTTGCCATTTGGATTTACTGTCCTGTAATATGTGCCTACCATAACTTTTGATCATTTTCCACTGGGACTTTTTTTGATTTGTAGGAATTCTCCCTATATAATCTAGGTATTATTTTTCAGTGGTGGGTAATATATCTTGAATATATCCAACCCTATTCACATAAGCTTTTCTCATTCAGTTCTCAGTGTTCCTCAGGTCCTGTACGTTAGCTCATAGGTACTGGTGTTTTCTTCCTGCAGTAGCAATGCCTCATGTTTATGTGGGATAGCCAGTTTACAAAGCACTCTCACAAATCTTATCTCATTTGGGTCTCTCAACAACTTCTAAAAGAGAAGTTGGGTATTATTATACTTGTTTTATAGATAAGGACACTGAGTGGCTTGCCCAAGGTCACAGGCCTAATAAGTCCTCAGACTCCGTACTCCATATCCCCCTTATGATTATATGATGCTTCAGCTGTTTATAGATGATGGCTTATTCATTTAAGCAAATGCTGCACTTCTGCTTAGCATCTTTACTTCAGTTCCTTCTTTTTTATGTTTATAATTCAAGATACAGCTCTAGTCTATGAAGTTCATTCTAAATTCATTACCTACAAGATAATGTAAGTATCCAGATGAGTAAAGGAAGCTCCAATATGATTATTTAATAGGGTTTTTAAAAAAAGAATGTCCAGGGCTTCCCTGGTGGCGCAGTGGTTGAGAGTCCACCTGCCAATACAGGGGACACGGGTTCGTGCCCCAGTCTGGGAAGATCCCACATGCCGGAGCCTGTGCTCCGCAAACGGGAGAGGCCACAACAGTGAGAGGCCCACATACCGCAAAAAAAAAAAAAAAAAAAAAAGAATGTCCAGGAGGATACCAGAAACCACAACAGTTACCTGTTCTGGGGCAAATCACATTTTTGAAAGTAATGGGTCTATTATGTAAGAAAGCTGATTTCAAATTCAGTATTTTTCTTTCTTTTGGCCTTTTAGAGAGTTAAAAAGAGGAATACAGTGAATAAAGAGAAGAAAAATGTACTTTAATATTTATTAGTATTATCTAAATTGGCTGTTCTATTTATGTCAAATACTGATTTTCTATTTATTTATTAATTACTAAATATTATTTATTTGTTGTATTAGCTATAACTAATAAT